CCTCCTCCTCCTCGTCTCCTCAACCCTCCTCCTCCTCGTCTCCTCAACCCTCCTCCTCCTCTCCTCAACCCTACTCCTCCTCCTCCTCCTGCCTCCTTCCTCCTCCTCCTCCTTCTCCTCCTCTCCTCAACCCTCCTCCTCCTCCCTCCTCCTCCTCACTCCTCCTCCTCCTCCTCCTCCTCCTCCTTCCTCCTCCTCTCCTCGCCTCTTTCCTTCAAATCTGACAATACCGCCCCCAGCCGCTGGCCATGACCAGCGGCGACTCCTTCAAATCTGACAATAGTGGTGGGGGGTCAAAAGTGTTTGACGGCCCGTCTGAGACACCCCCCCGAGAGCGGTGCAACCGCACCAGAATCCAGACGCCTCCAGAAGCATCGTTTGACGTTTTGGATTAGCCCCCCCCCAAAGAGAAGCGCTTGGGTATCAATTCTTGGACACCCACGTAAAGACGACGACGAAGACGGCGACGCCAGTGACGACCACATCGACAGCCACAACAACTACAACGAAGACGACGACGACGAAGACGACGATAACACCGACGACGACGACGACGACGACGACGACGACGACGACGACGACGACGACCAGCACACCGAACGTGTTGCACGGCAGCTCGACGGAGACCCCCCCCCAAAGAGGCAACAGAGGGCCCAGAGTCGAAACCACCAAGTAGCCCCGCCGACTCCGTTGGCCGCCGCCGGCGCGCGGCCGAGTCCCAGCGGTGGCTGCTGGTCAGGGCCGCCCGCCCGCGCAGAAAGAGCTGAAGCAGCACCACGCTCCAGTGTGCAACCGGTCGGGCCTCATCCGTGTGTGAAGTCCGGTCATATCACCTGTGCATCCATCCTGCTACCGTCTCGGCTCAGGTACTGGAGACAGATACAGCGCCGCCTGCCCGCGGCGCATGGGAAAAGGGATCGCTGCTCTCTCCCTTACCTTCCTCGGCCTACGGCAATCCGTGTATGTTCGACTCTTCAGTCGTCAACCTACATACACACTATCAAGCCTCATGCTTGCCCGCTCTTGACGGCTTCCCTGGTGGGTAAGAATGGTTTCACGGAGCCAGCCGCTCGGCTTAAGTTGGGCTTGTCCCTCTACAGGAGGAATATTCAAAAATAGTTTTGAAACATACTTTGGGGACGATGACAATGTTTGAGCATTGTGGATGCATCTTCTGGTACCTTATATGTTTCCCAACCATCCTGTGGTTTTGGGTCCTCGTTTTGAAAAGACGGTCCCCGCGTCCCTCCTCTCCTGTCCTCTCCTCTCCTCCCCCTCCTCCCTCCTCCCCGTCCCCCATCCTCCCTCCGCCATGCGTTTCGCCCACCTAGCACAGCGTTTCGTGGCCCCGTAGGGATCTCCACCCAAGGCCCCAGAGGGGGGGGGGCACATGCGTCCGCCACACCCAGTACGGCGCTTCGTGGCCCCATAGGGAGCTCCACGTAACCGTAAGGCCCCAGTGGGGGTGGCCACATGCGTCCGCCACACCCAGTACAGCGCTCCGTGACCCCAATAGGCAAAGCCACCTGCGGCCCCAATGGGGGTGGCCACATGCGTCCGCCAGACCCAGTACAGCGCTTCGTGGCCCCATAAGAAACTCCACGTGAGGCCCCAGCGGGGGTGGCCACATGCGCCTGCCAAACCAGTACAGCACTGCGTGGCCCCATAGGGAGCTCCACGTGAGGCCCCAGTGGGGGGGATCACATGCGTCCGCCACACCCAGTACAGCGCTGCGTGGCCCCGTAGGCAAAACCACCTGCGGCCCCAGTGGGGGTGGCCACATGCGTCCGCCAGACCCAGTACAGCGGTTCGTGGCCCCATAGGGATTGCCACCCAAGACTCCACTGTGGGTGGCCACATGCGTGCGCCAGCCCGAGTACAGCGGTACGTGGCCCCATAGGGAGCTCCACGTACGGCCCCAATGGGGGTGGCCACGTGGGTCCGCCACACCCAGTACAGCGATTCGTGGCCCCATAGGGACCTCCACCCAAGGCCCCAGTGTGGGGGGGGGCACATGCGTCCGCCACACCCAGTACGGCGCTTCGTGGCCCCAGAGATAGTTCCATATCGGGCTCCAGGGGGGGCACATGCGTCCGCCACACCCAGTACAGCGGTTTGTGGCCCCATGGGGAACCCCACGTCTGGCACCAGTGGGTGGCCACATGCGTCCGCCAGACCCAGTACGGCGTTCCGTGACCCCATAGGCAAAGCCACCTGCGGCCCCAGTGGGGTGGGCCACATGCGCCCGCCAGACCCAGTACGGCGCTTCGTGGCCCCATAGGGCGCTCCACGTAAGGCCCCTGTGGGGGTGGCCACACGCGTCCGCCACACCCAGTACAGCGTTCCCTGGCCCCATAGGCAAAGACACCTGCGGCCCCAATGGGGGTGGCCACATGCGTCCGCCACACCCAGTACAGCACTTCGTGGCCCCATAGGAAGTTCCACGTGAGGCCCCAGCGGGGGTGGCCACGTGCGCCTGCCACACCCAGTACAGCACTGCCTGGCCCCATAGGGAGCTCCACGTGAGGCCCCAGCGGGGGTGATCACATGCGCCCGCCACACCCAGTACAGCGTTTGGTGGCCCCATAGGGACCTCCACCCAAGGCCCCAGTGGGGGTGGCCACATGCGTCCGCCACACCCAGTGCAGCGCTTCGCGGCCCAATAGGGAGCTCTACGTAAGGTTCCATTTGGGGGGGGGGTACGTGCGTCCGCCACGCCCAGTACAGCGCTTCGTGGCCCCATAGGGAGCTCCACTGAAACACCCCAGTGGCACCGCCCACGTGCGTCGTCCACCACCCAGCAATGCATGTCGCGGCCTCATTGATTGGGAGCTCCACCAAACATCAGTGGCACCGCCCGCATGCGTCCGCCCCACCCGGTACAGCGTTTCGTGGCCCCGTAAGGGGGCTCCAGTGGCCACCGAAGGCCCCCCAGTGGCAACGCCCGCATGCGTCCCCCCTCCCGTGGCCCCATAAGGAGCTCCACCGAAGGTCCCAGTGGCGCCGCCCGCATGCGTCGGCCACCACCTCGTGGCCCCGTGGGGAGCTCCACAGAAAGACCCCAGCGGCACCGCCCGCATGCGTCCCCCCCAACCAATAATGCGCTTCGTGGCCTCATGGGGAGCTCCAGCGAGGGGCACTGCCCGCATGCGTCAGCCACACCCAGGAGAGCGTTTCGTGGCCCATAGGAAGCCCCATCGAAAGCCCCAGTGGCACAGCCCGCATGCGTCTCCCCGCCCATTACGGCACGTCCCTCACGCGCCTCGTGGCCCCATAGGGAGTTCCACCGAAAGCGGCACCCACAACAAGTTATTCACAACTGCATATGGTTGGGTCCTTCGCTTGGATAATTCGTCCAAAATCGGCCTGTAGGGGGACATGACCGACCTAACGCTCGGCCCAATGGTCGTTGTTGTAGTCGCCCGCGGCGTCATTGTTTCACAGAGTTGAGGAGGGATCACTACGGTCAGACAGGGCGCGGCTATGTTGTGCTGCAAGGCGTTCTCTACAATTTCGGTCTTCGACGCGAACATCAGATTCTTGAATGCGTAGCTTAGGTATCGCGACCTGCCAAATCAGAAATAATATATGTGTTGTTCAGGAGCTGGCGCAAAATAATTCCTCACATTGCTCTAGTGGTCTTCGGCCCAATCCGCCAAGGTGTGATTGCCGTGGACCACTGACCTTCTGGATGCCTCGTGAGGGCTTTTGGGGGCCTTGTGTAGGCCTGTGGCTGGCCTCTTCGATGCGTCGTGGAGTACGCCTTGCTGGCCCTCACGGGGGCCGCATTGGGGAAAGGGCCTCCCAACGGCAGTTCGTTTTTTGTGGGCTCCTTTTTGCGGCATCGTCTTGGATGGTCGCAAGACCGAACAGGCGAGCCTCCGAGTCTAATGCAGCAACCACGGGGTGTCAGTGGCCCCATCTCTTGGGCCAGCCCCAGAGGTCTCCGAGACGGCCCAAGAGTGCCAGGACGGGCCTTGGGGACCATCCCAGGGCACGCGGGAGGTGTGTGGGCTCAAAGCCGCGCTCGCTCTGCTGTCCCGGTTACCTGGCACGAGACCACAACCATATGGGAGAAGAAAACAGACATCTACCCTATCGGGTTCACCACGGTGACTCTGACGGAGAAGAGGAGGAAGCCGAAGAAGACGAGGAGGAAGAAGAAGCAGGACACGCACCACTAGAAGCACACAGTGAGGCCGACGAAGAAGAGCGTGAAATCGACCACGACCTGCGCGAAATTGACTGCAAACTGCGCGAAATCGACCACAAACAACTTGAAATTGACCGCAAGCAGCGTGAAATCGACCACAAACTGCATGAAATTGACCACACACACCGTGAAATTGACCGCAAACAGCGTGAAATTGACTGCAGACAGCGTGAAATCGACCACAAACTGCGTGAAATCGATGACAAACTGCACGAAATCGACCCCAAACTGCGTGAAATCGACAACAAACTGTGTGAGATCGACCACAAACTGGTTGAAATTGACCGTACACTGCGTGAAATCGCCCACAAACAACTTGAAAGTGACCGCAAACAGCGTGAAATCGACCACAAACTGCGCGAAATCGACGACAGACTGCACGAAAGCAATCCCAAACTGGCGAAATCGTCAACAAACTGCGTGAAATCGACCACAAACTGCGCGAAATCGACTACAAACAGCGTGAAACTGACCACGTGCTGCGTGAATGCGCCGAAAGGAACTTGAGCCAGGAATAGGTGAGCCAGGGAGGCTACGGAGAGTACGCAATCCTCGCGCCATCAGCCGGTCTGATGCCTGTTGCCTTCCAGTGGACCAGGGCGCCGTGCCACGGTGTTTTGGGCCTGGCGGACCCACAAGGCTGGTGCACCAACGTGCCTTCACGAGGAACGGACGCGAAATACAGCGCACACTTCGTACAGTGGTGAACATTGCCGAGTAATTCAAAAGTATGTATTGCCCCGGAGCGGGGCTGCAAAGTATAATTATGCACCCAAGTCTTGGCAGCCTCCAGCTTAGCTGTGGCTGCTCCTGCGTTGCCCGGGCACACCAGAGCATGCTTGTGCCACTCCTCGGGGTCACGGGCCATGATGGGGTGAAGGATGACGACCCACTTGCAACGCCCACAGGTCACAGGGGCATATCTCTCTCCTGACCACTGCAGAGGGTGTCGGTGGTACTCGCTGAGCTGGTCAACGACACGCTGAAACTTCGGTTTGGCCACCACCCAGGACCTGTCGATGTTGACCAACGACATGGTAGGCCGCGCCCGCTCGCCTGCAAGGCGCCCCGTGCTCCGGCACTCCTTCAACCAGAAATCGTGCAAGATACTGTTGGAGGTGCTCAGACCAGATCGACCGCATTTCTCGCACTTCACACGTCTCGCTTGAGATCCATCAGGCAGGTCCACTGTGTAGAAGACGACCTGATCCTGTGGATGTTTCGAGGCTGCTGGAGCCGCTGGTCGACGCGAGGGGGGGTCGTCGCCGCCCCCGGGGTCGGCGTGGCCCGCCTCGCCGTTGAGGGTCGCGGCGGCAGTGTCAATGGCCAGGAACACTTTCTGCAGCTGCGCCACGGTGAAAGAAAACCTGCCCGTCCAGTCTGCAGTCGCAGGCACAATGGCGCAATTGAGCATACACGCAGGCATATCAGAAGCATGGGCGCGGAGACTGCGGAACCAGGCCGGCCGCAAGTGCTCCCACTGAGGGCACCACCAATACCGATGCTCCCGGGTCTCAAGCACGTCGCGGCCCTTGCAAGAGTCGAATACACAGTGCGGATGCGGGACCCGCCTGCCGTGCCGAAACAGACGCTCTCGTGTGTACGCAGCCCCAGTGACGATGTTTGTAAGCACGCCTCCGTCCCAAGGGTCACACTCAAGGAAAGCTTCGCGGTGAGCAGCAAAATCGATACCCCCCTGAACGCCCTGGAACTCCCAGCGGGGGCGGAGCCCATTTCGCCTCGAAGTGCTGACAAGATCGCACAATTCTCGCGACCGGAGAGCATCTCGGAGATGGTGAACGAACGTATCCCACTCGTCAGCTGGCACCGGCAGAGCGTAACGCCGGCCACAGCCAGATATGAAAATCCAGCCGGCGCTGGTACCATCCCATTCCCACGCCCACTTAATGGACCGAAGCGACCGCACGAGCAGCGACACTGGCCCCTCGCAAGGGATGGTGCCGGACAGTCTGCTGTAATGCACGCGCAGGGCCTCGATCTCGGTCGCCGTGCCGCGGTCTGGCCACGAGTAGCGAGCAAAGAGAGTGATCCGCTGGTAATCAAAGCACTGCATGGGATCAAGCCTGTGCCCTTGGGCGTAAATGGTCATGCACACCTCCAAGGCAGCTGTGGCGAGTGGTTCACGCCCTCCTCTCGCAGCCTTCCAGACAGCCTTCCGAAGGCCCATGGCGTCCTTGACTGGCACGTCGGCAAATTCAGAACCGTAGAGAGTAGGGATTGCGCTCGTGGCGATCATGCTCAAGCGCTGGTCTCTGGTGCCGGGCAGCTCAGCAATACGAGGCAGGCGTTGTCGGCATGTCTGCACGCGCTTGGCCGGCAGCGTCACGGGATCACGCATGTCCCCATCCTGGATAGCGGCCCAGTCTCCCAGCATCTTCACGCCAGAAGCGGCGGGCAGCTGCTTCCGCCCCACGTGCAAACGAACTCCTCCGAAGGCCAAGCTTTTCGTGGCACTGAGCTTGACTGCAAGACACATGGCCCAAATGACAGTAATAAGATGTGCACGGCGAACTTGGCATTGGTGATGGCTGGCAACGTGCGTGTCGTCAGCGTAGCCGCCGTGCCGGAGATCACCTTTCGCCGACGACACGGCGAGGGAGCAGCTGGAGACAGTATCCGGGCCGCCGGCGAGGATCTCGGCGAGCTCGGTGGACCAATCGTTTACGGCGTGTCCTCCTCCTCCTCCTCGTCGTCGTCCTCCTCCTCCTCCTCCCTCGCGGGAGGGGGGGACGGGGCGGGGTGCAGGGGGAAGGGAGATCCCGTGCTCGACGGCGGTCATCCACACGAAGACCAAGGCGTTCATGTAGACCATGGACAGCGGATCGCCCTGCGGCGCTCCCCGGCGCCCGTCTGCGAAGCCAAAAGGTTGCCCCAGGAAGCCGGAGTACTTGTACCTCACCACGAGATTGGCGTGGAAGTCCTGGGCCAGCGCCGCGAGCTGCTGTGGATAGCCGGTCTTCGCCAAGATCCGCCATAGGTGCCCATCCGGCTCCGTGCTGATGGACTCGAAAGCCTTCTCCAGGTCGTAGGCGGCAGCCCACACTTGCTGATTGAACACCTCACCGTGCTCCACGAAGACGGCAAAAGGGTAGGACAGATGGCGAGCAGACGTACGCCGCCGACAGCCGGCGAAAGGGTACGTCCCCATGACGTGCTCCTGCCAATCAAACAGTGTCGTCTGGAGCCGCACGGTGCCGTGGAGGCGATACAACGTAGCCAACACAGTGATTGGTCGCAGCTCGGAGAAGTGCCCCGAGGAGCCAGGCTTAGGTATACAAGTGACATCGCCAGACAAGTGTTGCGAAGGGTTGATGCCAGTTTTCTCGGCCATCATGAACAGCGTCGCCAGCTGATCGTAGAGCTCTGGGACCGCCCGCAGTTGGGCTGACGTCCAGGCATCTCCTCCCGGGCCGCCCTTGCTCTTGGCCAAAGCCGATCGTATGTCAGAAGACGTGATGGGGCGCAACGGGAAAGGCTGATGCGCTGGAACTGTGTCCAACAGCTTCTCCAGCAGGCGAGGGAAGGATGTATCCGGTCGCCGACATACGTTCTTCCAGAAAGCGCGCACCTTCTCATCGATGACCGGAATGGACGTGGTGTATTCTGGCGGAGCTCCACCAGGGGCAACATTCACGAAATGCGACGGCGCCAGATCTTGACCGGCCACGTAGGCGAACCGACGAGATGTCCTGAGGGCTGAGTTGCGCCGGGCCATCTGCCTGCGCTCCGCTCTGGCCGTGAAATGTTGCAGTTTCCCGCTCAGCTGCTCGGCGATCGCGGCATACTCTGCGTCATTAGGCATGCCTCGTGGGAGAAAAGCATGAGGGAGACGCCGCTCACTGATGAAGAAGCGGTAGAGCGAATTGTACAGATTGTTCCACGTCCTGACTTTCTGAGACCCATGCACCTGCATTCTTCGGAGTGCCTCCAAACGCCGCTGTAAATGTACACATCTGGTGACTTGTACATGACGGCTAGCTGAGGATGTTGCTTCTCGGTTGGCTCGTGATACAGGCGGCACAACATATGCTTTGCGGACGGGCTGCAACCGACCACGTGCATGGTGGCGCGGATGCCACCGGAGACCCGCCTTTCGCACTAGGAGGTGTTCTGCGCGCAGCGCCCACAACTCAAACAGTCCTGAGAGAGCTTCCCTGCGCCCCTCAACGTCGTGTGCTTCAGCTGCCCGCCTTGGTTCCACGATCGCGGCCAGGGCCTCCCATTCCTGTTGCTTCAGGGAGCGGATCTGCACCAGATCATTGGGGGACACCAGGCACTTGCCCACAGGCAGCGGTGGAGGCATGCTCCGCCTGCCCACCCGCTGCACGAATGACTGCAGACAGAGCTCGATCACCAATGTGTCATGAGTGGAGAATATCTGCTCCTGTCGGCAGGAGGGCGACACGACATAGCGAGCACAAGGATTGATCCAACACATGTCGATGCGCCTCTGCCCTTGGCGTCCTCGAGTAGTGGGCTTTGGCCCCGTCCCCTGCGTGAGGGCGCACTCGAGGAACACGTCGTGGAATCTGCCAGTGTACTGCCACCGCCGCAGGACGTGCGACTCCTCTACGACGGTGTTGAAATCGCCGAAGATCAACACGGGCGCATGCATCAGTGCGGAAGACCACTCTTCGATGGCGAGGAATAGTTCGTCACGAGCACGCGGATCATGTTGATCGCCGTAAAGCACAAAGACAAATACTGGCCCCTGTCCGGTGTCGGATTTGTGCCGCCGGCTTCCCTGGAGGACGAGATGGTAGAGCGCCAGCCGGCCAGCTTTGACAAATGGCGCGGCTTCCGCAGGGGGATGCACCAAGCGGACTCTGCCCAGATCGGGCCCTGCGCACATGCCAACACCAGAGTGCGCCCCAGGAGCCACGGTGTCGCCGAAGATAAACTGGAACCTTCCCCAGCCATCTGCATAGTCGTCAGCTTCTGCTTGGATCATACGCGCCACGCCATCATAATGCCACGTCTCAGCCAAAAAGTGCGCCCCAGCCCGGGCGTGCTCGCACAGTAGCGGGACCTTGCTTCTAGCAGAGGTCACATTGGAAAAGGAGAGGCGTATGTTCCCATACAGGAAATACAAGAATGAATTCAAAGCTCTCGATGAACTCACGCACAGAAATCCAAACAGGATCACGTCGCGAGTCATGCGTAACATGCAGACGTAGTACATCAAAGAACTTATTTGGGAATCGCCGGCACCTCTGGCAAGGCGGCCGGCTTGGCTCCTTCGGCTTCGACTCGGAGGCGCAGTGCTGCCCCCCTCTCTGGAGTGCCTCCTGGGTCTCGCTGGCGAGGCGGCGGCGGCGGCGCCGCCACCAAGGGCTTGGCGAAATCGGCCAGTGCTTTCGCCCTTGCGTGCTGCTTGGCAGCCAGAGCCCGCGCAGCGAAGGAGGACGCAGGCTTGGATACTGAGACTGCCTGCATGCCATCGCCGTCTGCGTCGGTGGATCGGCACGCGATGCCCTTGGCCTTGCAGAGCTCCTGGGCCTTGGACGTAACCGCGTGGATCTGCAGCACGACGGCAGACCCATCTGTTCTGACGAGCTTCAAGCGTGGGCCCGGGGGAGCAGCCTTGGACAACACGATGGCGTGCCCATCGCCCAAAAATGGGACGTCGGTGATCTCCCACTGGACCTGCTGGAGCATCGCCACAACCCCTGCAGCGCCAGACGCACTGGAGAGCCCGCTCACCCGGAAGCGCCCCAGGAGAGTGGTGTCCTCGAGGCCGTGCTTCGTCAGGAAGGCTGCGGCCTTGGCGGCGGTCCGAAACCGCAGGCCATACACAGGAGCCTCCGCGCTGGACTTCTTGGCTACTCCCCAGCTGTCGGCCTCCGCAGCGGCAAACTGCAAGACCTCGTGAACAAGAGTGCCAGCGGGCAGCCACGCCACTTCGAGCGAAAAATCTGGATTCGTCACGGAAGGATGCGTCTTCGAATACACTCCGGCCTGACCGCTGGTCCTCAAGAGGCTCTCGACTTTGCTGGACACAACCAGGGCGGTGGAGGAGCCATCCTGCCGAACTGTGATGTCGGAGAAGGCGTGCTCCCCAACGAGCTTCTTCAGGAAGTCGGAAACCACTAGTGCTGTGATGAGCTCGCTGTTCCAACCCGCCTCGGAGTCGAACTTGAGCGTAACCTTGACCATGGACACTGCCTCCTGGATGGTGGGGAGGCCCTCCGTCTCCATGTGCACGCGGTTGGCCGTGTCGCGCCCCAGCTGGATGAGGTAGCGCTGAACCCAGATCGTGGACGGGGAGGCCTCGGACTGCACCACGAGAGAGTGCCACACCCGCGTGGCTGGCAGACCCTCGAGACCGAGCTCTCCTGGAGACTGCGTGCATAGCATGGCTGTCGGCCGCAGCGTCTGGCCAATACGAGCCAGGGTGGCCGGGATGTGCTTCTTGGGCACGATCGCCACTCCACCTCGCGGGCCCAGCTCGCCGTGAGGCAGAATCGGCGCCGACCATTCCTCCTGGACCAGAGATGGCTGCTGCAGGGCGCGGAGGTGGTCGGGCATGGCCTGCTCGAGCTCGTCGTAGTAGGTGTCCACCTCCGCCGGCATCTGGTCGATGCTGCTGATGGCCGCCCGCATGCCAGAGATGTAGGACTCGAAGGTGGCCGGGCTGGGAGCGACTGGCACGGCGGAGGCGCCTGCGCCCGCCCTCGCGGCCTGCGCGGGCACCGGCCCTGGCGGCGGCGGCGGCGGCACCTGCTGGCCTCTGCCCTTCCCCTTTCCCCGAGCTCGTCCTCCTCCTCCACGGCCCTTCCCTCCCGGCTTGGCTGCCGGAGAACCATTGCCGTGCAGGATGTGCATCTGTCGATTATGCTCACGATGTGTAAGATATGTGACGGTACCTGAAAAGTCTCCCATGTTGCTCAAGGCAGGTGTGAAATATGCAAAGAATGCGTACAAGACGAGGCTCAGAACCGGGCTGAAGTGGGCCTCACGGGCGCCGAGAGCCCGACTCACCTCCGGCACGCCGCTCACCTTGCGTAGCTCTCGGTGACGTGCCGGTTCAGCTCGAAGAGCTGGCGGTGCGCAAGGCTCCAAGCCGCGCTCGAGTCATTGGACACGCCCGGGACAAAAGATAGCGCGGGGGCGCCTTGGAAGAACTGCCGTGACTCTGCGGTCTCGGGCCCCGAAGGGAGTGTGGACCATTTGCGGCCCAGAGGACCCGACAGGAACGGAGCAAATGCCACCCAATGCCTCTCGACGTGGTGCTTTCGCGAGTCAGCGTCAGATGATGATTCGCATTGGTTCCAGCCTTCGTGAAATCGCTGCTGTCAGCCAGCAGCGTGCACTTCTCAGAGCAGGGAGGAGGCTGAGGTCACTGGTGGTCACCAGAGACGAGGTGTGAAACGATAGAGGCATCTGCATGTTGCCCATCAGGCGTAGGCAGGTGATCTGCACACTTGGATTCCAGCCCTGACTGCGCCCACAGTTTCCCATGTTGCTGGTACAGGGCTTCGGGTCCTCCTCCTCCTCCTCCTCCTCCTCCTTCTGCTCCTCCTCGGGAAGTGTTGAATGCAGGTTCCAGGAGTGGCGGCGACCTTGTCACGCTGTCACTGCTCAGCATATGTGCCTGCTTCGCGTGTGGCGGTCAACAGCCAGAGAACCTGTCGGTATTTATTTTGCTCATCGCGTCATCGCGTCACCGCAATTATTCTGTCAGCCTTGCATACAGTGGGGGCACGCATCAAGAAACCATATGCTTTTCGTCAGGGTATCCTGGGTTTCTTCGCTCTTCACGCTGCGCGGTGACCTCCCGCAGCCGTTGAAGGAGCGGCTGCGTTCAGAGTGCTCCAGGTTTCCCCTCAGATGCACCTCGCGCGCGGGTTCTCAGGGTTGGGCTTCTTGCGAGGGTTTCTTGCGGCCGCGCCCGCACTGTACGGGTCTTGAGTTCAACGCTTCAGTCGGGCGAGGAGGTCCAGTGGTATTCGGGCTTCTGCGGGCCAGCTCGGGCTTGAGGCGTCAGGGGCCTCGCGGACGGCCTTGGCGCGCGAGCTCGGTAATTGGACACGAGGCTCAGGATCCGAGTGGCTCCCGCACGGGAAGGCGACCCGACCTAGTGTGTTTAGAAGTGTGGTCCTTCAGCCATCGGATAGGTGTGCGCACACCGCTCGTTTGCGGTCTTCTGGGGAGGCTGGAATCTGCAGGCCCTTGACATTGCCAAATGTCCTGCCCGGGGCGGCTGTAAGTAATGCATCGGCGATGCTATAAGCGAGCGCCGCCCACCGTTTGCTGCCCCACCAAGGGGCTCGTCAACATCGAGTGGTCCACGAACCAACTCACCTCGTGTACCCCTAACCCGAAAAAATGCGGCGGCTGGGTACGATGGAAAACCAATCCAGTGCATGGGCCAAGCCTTTAAAGATCCAGGCGTGCTTCTGGGAGGACCCCTCAGAGGTTTTCCATGCAGTTTCTAGGAAGTTTACGGAGCGCTTGGGCTTCTTAGAAGGACGCCTGCTCAGAAAGGTGGCCCCCTCCGCTTTGCCTCCCTCCCCTCGTCATAAAGGTGGATCAGGCGGCTGCGATGGTGCCACCGCCGAGCTTGCCTACGAGTACGTCCTCAACTCGGGGCTTCTCCTGGACTGCCGCTCGTCCCGCCCTCCCCCACTCAAGCGGACCGCGGCAGGCGCTGCTCCACCGCTTCTGCTCATGCCTCATTCTGTTCCTCCTCCCTTCTTTCCCCCTCCTCCTCAGCCTTGTCCTCGTCTTGTCGCAGGCCGTGGCGGATTCCGCATTCTCCGCCAGGGTGGCAAAAGGTCCCCTTCGCTGGGCGCAACCCGACACCCCCACCTGGCGTCAGACTTGCGAGTCATTGCCCTCGTGGCTGTCCAAAGCCTATCTGCTCAGGCACATGCAGAGTTGTTGGTCTGATGCTGCGTGCACCCGCCTGTCGGTGCCAGTCCATGCCTTCCTGAGGAGGAGGAGGAGGAGGAGGAGGAGGAGGAGGAGAGGGAGGAGGAGGAGGAGGAGGAGGAGGAGGAGGAGGAGGAGGAGGAGGAGGAGGAGGAGGAGGAGGAGGAGGAGGAGGAGGAGGAGGGGGAGGAGGACGTGGAGGACGAGGAGGAGGAGGAGGAGGAGGAGGAGGCCTCTTGAGGGCGTCCTGGCTGCTTCTTCGGGGCCTATGCGGGCCCTCCTGGGGGCCCCCAATCGGGGGCACGTTCATCAACGACGAGTGCGGGAGCCGCGGTCCTGGGGAATACGCATTGAATGGCACGCGGGCAGTCAAGAGCGAACAGTTTGGATCTGCTCGATGCTGTTCTCGTTGCCGTCGCCGCCCTCCGACCCGCGCCGCGACCCACCCGCGACCCGCCCGCGACCCACCTGCGCCGCGACCCGTCCGCGACCCACTTGGGCGGGACCCGTTCGTCAACGTCGCGACCCAACCAAACCACCCCAACCCAACCCGAAGGCCCCGATTTGCCCTCCATTCCCAGTGGGGGGGGGGCCTCGGGGAGCATTGGAAAAGCACATGTGGAACCCGCCCCTGTCCCCCCCCCCACCCGAGAGCTGGGTCTTCGGGTAAGGTTGGGGTGGTCTGGCACAGGGGAGGCCCACGCCAAGAAGCACCCTGCCTGCCTCCAGGGTGTCCTGGGTTCCTTGGGCTCCGGTGGTTCTGCGACGGAAGGCTCGACGCCTTCGCACCAGAAACCCATGGACGTCCCAGGGTCTCAGGGTTGGGCTTCTTGTGGGAGGTTCCCTGTGGTCGCGCCCCTGCTGTGGGTCGTCGTCGACGGCGCCCCGCCTCGCCCTGCCCCGCCCCGCGCCGCGGCCCCGCGGGCAGCCGAGGCGGCGCCCGCGGCGGGCCGACAGCCCCGCTGTGATCCTACAGTGGGGGCGCGCATCAAGAAACCATCTGCTTTTCGTCAGGGTATCCTGGGTTTCTTCGCTCCGCGCGCCGCGCGGTGGCTTCCCGCAGCCGGGGAAGGAGCGGCTGCGTTCAGAGTGCTCCAAGGTTCCCCTCCGGTGCACCTCGCGCGCGGGTTTTCAGGGTTGGGTTTCTTGCGAGGGTTTCTTGCGGCCGCGCCCGCACTGTACGCCGCACCGCCGACCCCTTGCGGGGCTCCTGGTAGGTCTCTCGAGGGCCTCCTGGCAGCACTTTTGAAGCCTCTGGTGGGCCTATTGGAGCATCTTGCGGTCTTCTTGGGGGCCTCTTGGGGCCTCCTGGAGGCTTCTTGGGGCCGGGATCTCGAAATTTCCGTTCGGGCCCCCCGCCTGGGCCCCCTCCTGGAGCCGTCTTGGGGGCCTCTTGGGCCGTCTTGGGGCCCTCTTGGGCCGTCTTGGAGCCTTCTTGGGGGCTTCCTGGACAGTCTTGGGGTGATCTTGAGGCCTCTGGGGCCGTCTTGGACGTTGTGAAAGCCCAAGAGAGGCGAATGTGCTAAAATCACACGTTTTCCTGATGAAATGAAACGATGTTTGCTTCTGGGGGCCCTCCTGGGACGCCTCTTGGGGTCCTCCTGGGGCGTTTCGGGGGCCTCTTGGACAGTCTGGGGGCCATCTTGGGCGTCTTGGAACGATCCATCGGCGACTCGGGGCCCTCTTGGACTATCTTGTGGGCCTCTTGGGGCCCTCATGGCCCGTCGTGAGGCCCGTGGTGTGTTCAGCCGGGGCCGGCCGGACCCCCCCCCCCTCCCCCTCTCCAAACCGAACGGACAGGGCCCCGGGGGGAGGGGTTCGGGGAGAGGGAATCATCTCACACGCCGATGACCACAAGGGGTCGGCGGATGTGTTCGTCAGGTTTAAGGAAAAATACACCGAGTGCTGGTAGATCTACAAACATCCGACGTGCTTCTTGCAGATCCGACGACCACGTCAATCTCGGGGCACATCGACTCTGCAGTCAATCTCCTACCCGAGTCCTTTTCAGCAGCGGCATCGGCGCCCGTGGCGGGCCGCTATGCGTTGGCCTCGGAGAGCACCACGGTCTCGGCATCGCTCGGGGGGGGGGGGGGCGCTTTCTTTTCGGGGAAACGTAAGACTCGAGTAAGCCGGAACTCGGGTTAGCCGAAGTTTTTCCCAACCCTCCTTGGTTGGGTATTCGTTTTGAATAGAGCAGTGTGGTCGCGTCCTTCCTCCTCCCGCCTCCCGCCTCTATCCTGCCTCTTTCTGTCTTGCCTGCGGGGGGCTGTGAAACTGTCGCCAGTTTCGAGGCCTGCTGGGGGGTCCAGCATAGAGGGTAATCGCGGCAGATCCAAATTAGACCTCGCCATTCCTGGGGGGCTGCGATCTGTGAAACTGTCGCCACTTTCGAGGCCTGCTGGGGGGCTCAGCATAGAGGGTAATCGCGGCAGATTCAAATTAGACCTCGCCATCCCTGGGGGGGGGGGGGCTGCGATCTGTGAAACTGTCGCCACTTTCGAGGCCTGCTGGGGGGTCCAGCATAGAGGGTAATCGCGGCAGATCCAAATTAGACCTCGCCCTCCCTGGGGGGCTGCGATCTGTGAAACTGTCGCCACTTTCGAGGCCTGCTGGGGGGCCCAGCACAGTGAGGGCCACGCGCGGATTCAAATTAGACCTCGCCATCCCTGGGGGGCTGCGATCTGCGAAACTGCCGCCATTTTCGAGGCCTGCTGGGGGGCCCAGCACAGTGAGGGCCACGGGCAGATTCAAATGAGACCTCGCCATCCCTGCGGGGCTGCGATCTGTGAACCTGTCGCCACTTTCGAGGCCTGCTGTGATCCCCGTTTTCGAAGTGGCTAGGAGTGCTCAGGAATTGTAAATCATCAGCTTTATCAAGCCCTTTTCCTGTAGCCAGTGTCCTGCGAGTCTCCCGAATTCCGTCTGCAGACATATGTAACCCTCGCTCCGTCATCGCCCCCTTATAAAGTATCCTAAACTATTTGCGCCCCGCTTTTGCGCAGGGGTTGGGTACGTCGCCAGGGTAATTTTTACGAGCGCGTCCTGGATTTTGACGGTCCAGTTTTCGTGGGTTGTTTGCAGCGGGAGCCCGCGCCAAATTTCAGGTTGGGTCTCGTCATTTTTTTATGATGGCCCCATCAGGCCAACCCGAGTCCTCCTTACCCGAGTCTTACGTCTCCCCGATCTTTTCATAGCCCGCAAACCGCGTAGCGGTTTGCGGGGCAGGAAAATCGCGGGGCAGGCCTTCTTGGGGCCTCTTGGCTTCTCCGCTTCCTGGCACCACAGGGGAATTCTCCTGGCGGCGCCGAATTGTTCCACTCGCCCATAGATGGCGCGGGAACGCCGCCCACACAACCGGCACACGGCCGGGCCAACGAGATTTTCTCGGCGGGACCATCCAGGAGCACCTCGGAGCACCCCGCGACAGATGCACGCGCGGCGCCGAGGCATGCAGCGGGGAGCGCACGTCCGAGCGATGGCGAGCGGTGCGCACCGGCCCGGGCGCCCCTCCCTCTCGCCTGCAACTGGGCCTGGGAGGACACCGCCGTGCGTACGGTAGGTTTGCGTCGTGTCGACCAGCGGCGACCCCAGCGCGGACGTTCAAGGTTGAACGCCGCCGGCGCCCCAGAATCGATCGATGTTGAAGGATCGGACGTTGCGGCAGCGGCCGATCGTTCAAGGTTGAACGATCCAGCGCGGTGTCAGAAACCAACGCTGGGGTCGGCACGACACGGACCTGCCGTACCGCTCTAGGCTCGGGCCGTGCGAAAGGGGAGGATTGGGAAAGGGGGGGGTGCTAAATTTGCCTCTGGCGCCGGGAGGCGCCGGGAAAATCAGCTACGTGAGCTGATTCTCCAACCCCCCCTTCGCTATCCCCCCCTTTCGCCCGACCCGATAGGCGCCCCTCGCTCTTACCCGCCACTGCGGGGACCGAGCACCGTGAATTTTGCGTCGTTGGTCGCCCAGGAGGTGGTTGGCCCGTTGGCCCCCAAAAAGATGTTGCCATCGCTTTCGCCAACATGACCGCCGTCAAGAGTGACCATCGCAGTTTTGCTAGGAAGGGGGTCGGACTATCAAGGTGTTCTTTGCGGAGGAGGGTCCAGAACATTAGGTTGTGAAGGAAGGGGGGTATTCTTAGGGGGGGATCGTTTTTTCCAGGGTCCAGAGTGCTTTCAATGTTCCACACAAAGATCTCGAATGGATTCGAGCACACTCTTTTCAGTGCCTCGATGCACGGTGGAGGATGTGAGTGGTCTTGGGCGAAGTGGGTTGGACTTCGCCTCGGGGTGTGCCCGTCAGATGTTGGAAACCCCACAGGCGACCCTAGCACCTGACAGTGAAGGGAGCCTAAATCTAAGTCGATTGGTGACTGAACTCCGACCGGATTCTCTAACTGTAGCTTTGCCGAGAACCGTACGCCCTCCCAAATTGGTCATTGGTCATCACGTGCGCTTGCGAGGACAGGGAGTACCGCGAGAAGGCAGGTGACGACCAGCATGCGAAGTGCCCCACGGATTTGGAGGCTCCCGGTCGGGCGCAAGCGATCACGGCCAAGGCAGAGACAGCATGGGGGAGGGAACAGGTGTCTCCTCGAATCTGCTATCTGGTGCTTGGCGACCTGGCTTTTCCAAGAAGCATCGGTATTCGGAAGCCCCACAGGTGAATATATTGTGGGCAGGCAGACCGTGGATGATGCATGACTGCGTATCCTTGCACGTGCACGCACACTTCATCACATGCTTGATAGCCGAGAGTTTTGCTATTATGAGCGCATTGTTGGTGCAGTATTCCCAGACCAGCCGTTCCACGAGTAATCTCATAATGATCCCATCGTCCTCTTATGACCCATCTCGTATGACCCAGATGTCCTACGCATCGTCGTCTTATGCACCAATCGCAGGAGTTCCACAGGTTTAACTAAGCTAGCCGAGGTACGACGTGTTCAGGAGATTCTCCCCACGTTCGGTGAAAATCTCTACCCTGACGCCTTGGCGCTCGGAGGCGAAGTCGGAAGTGGCCACCGACGGCGTCCTGTCAGTCGACGGCGCCGAGGTGCACCGCGTGGGCAAAAACCACAAGCACTTGATCGGTGCGAAGCTGGGGTTGACGGGGTGGACCAAGCTTCCCGAGAACAAGGACGCGTCTCCCAAGCAAGTTTGCCCGTCCTTCGACCTGTGCCGCTGTCACCCTCGTGCCTCACACTCCCCCTCGCGGCACTGCCTCGGAGGCTGCGCCGGTTACCAGGGCAGTCGGACCCAAACTTCAACAGAGGCTGCACCAGTGACGCCCCGAACCTCGCATGCTCTGGCACAGAGGGCAAACAGGCGCCGCCGTGCTCAATGCGTGTTTTGTTGGAAGTTTTGTGGGCCAGACAGCGTACAGAGGCGCACATAGCTGTTGACTGGATCGGCCGTGTCGTTCCATACACCCCCTTCGGCTCCTAAGGCGGCTGTTGTTGGTCTGGACCAGCCCGAGGCGAGCGCTTTCCCGAGCCCATCCTGGCCTCGACCTCCGAGGGTCTGCAGACTTTGAGGGCCTGACGCCCGCGTCGTGATGGCCATGGGCCCCCAGCAGGGCCCGTGGAGAGGTGCGCGAGGGACCAAGCTCGCGGGGCAGAGCTGGAGTCGACTCTGACCCTGGGCGTCCTGGTGGTGTCTGGGCGTGCTCGGTTTCTGGAGGCGCGCTCGCGCCGTCGGGGCGCTGGCGGATCGCTGCCGCGTGGGCAGGGTGGCGGATCTCAGGGGTGAGGAGGGGGACAGTGTCTCACTGTAGTACGTTGTGCTGAAGCGAGGAATTGGAGACAAGAAGTCAGAGTCGGCAGCAGCGTCTTGCGCGTTTGTTGATAATCCAGCATGCGGCGACAGGAGTGACCCCGGGCCCACGATGGGCCTGGCCTGTGTCGGTGAAGTAGGGACAGGTGGGAGGATCTCGCCACAGAGATGCTGCGGCGCCGCTGTGCACTTTTGCGCACTGCCCTGCGCCCCTGCACCTACCTGGATGACACTCGCGCACACGGCAGCTCGGGTGGAGGGAGGGAGGGAGGAAGGGAGGGAGGGAGGAGGAGGAGGAGGAGGGAGGAGGAAGCAGTTTTGTGGAAGGTGATTTGGATGGTCCGCTTCCCGCTCGGAGAGGGACATGGCGCCGAAAGCGTGCACGCACGACCCTGCATTCCTCCACCCTGCCTCCAGCGACGACCATCGAGGGCTCTGGCCCGCCAATGCCGTTTCCGATCGGCCCTCCCTGGTGCCCAGGCGCGCTCGCCTCGCATCGCCCCCCCGCAGGAGGAGCCGCTTGTGCGGGAATTGTACCAGAACGGGCCAGTGTACGTCGCCGCCCTTCTTTTGACTTTGCACTTGCGCCCGCTAATGTGGTTGCCATCTCTCCACCGGAGGAGGAGATCGACGAAGCGGGAGGAGGGGGACGACGACGAGAAGGAGAGTGCGAGTGCACCCGCTCCGCCGAGTGCGTCAGCGCTCGCAGGAAGACGAAGGAACGGAGCGAATCCAGGATGCAACACGGCCGGACCGAGGCAGAAGATCGAGGTAGGCTCGGGGAGGGTACCCTGATGTTCTTCGTGCCTGTTGGAGGTTCTTGTGCATCCTGGTGGAGGGCACCCTCGAATGCTCTTCCGTTTGGGCCAGCGGAGGGCTTCGTGTTCTTGAAGTATGTTGTTCTGTCCTAAGTCCGACTGTATCGAAACTGCACTGCGCCCTCCCGCCCCGAGTCCTCTCATCATGAGGCCCGCGTGGGCTTCCTTCTCGGGCGCGCGGGCCTATCAGTCCCTGTCGCTTTGCACCAGTACTCCGGACACGGGCGTAGCATCAGCGCGGCAGCATCTTCTTCCTCCTCTTCCCGCCGCTCCCCCCCTCTCTCTTGCTCTTCGTTCCCTCCTCTGGTTTCCGCTCCGAAGATCATCCGCAAACATCTGATGGACAACGTAAACTATCCAGGGAGCGAACCGCAAGAAATCATGAAAGGAGCTTGGCGAATAGTTCCCGAGGCCATTATGCGGAAATCTTGAGGCGACCAAAGAACTTCTACGAAGGAGTTACATTCAACTCCTGCAAGGGACCTGAAGAGTTCTCCAAGGATGTTGAATAATCCCAGAGGAAGCGTAAAGCAGCCCCACGGAAACCATGACTCATCCTGCAGTCTGCCTGGGGATCCCGAACAATTCTTCAGGAGCGCTGGGAGTTCCAGTGATATCATTACGGAGCCCAAGAGGAAAGCTAAGACTGCATTGGGAAATTCTTAGTTTCTCCTCCCTCTCATCTCACCATTGTCATGAGATGTTATCCTCCACGCCCTCCTTTCTTTTATCATGCCAGTACTCCTACTCCTCCTCCTCCTTCCTCTTCCTTGTTCTCTTTTTCCTTTTCGTCATAACGGAATCACCAACCAACTTCAGTCGGATTAGTTTTCTTGAGCAGGAACACCAAATCATGTTTGAAGGGTCCGGCAGAATTCCAAAAGGAACATTGCAGATTTCAACCAGAAGCCGACGGCAGCCCAAACGAATCCATGGGTCATACTGCAGGCGACCTAAATAATGCATTCGATAGGTTCCTTCGAATCGCAGGTTTGCCTGACGATACCAGACGAGTTCCGAACGAATCCTGGCGGGAACCGTGAGGAAATTTACGAGGACCTCAGGTGGTCTGCATCATCTATATATTCCTTTTCTTATCGTTACATCTTACCTGTCGTCGTTTCCTGCTCCGCAGTATGATTTCTCTTCGGGTCTTTCCTGGCCCTGCCCATATTACGTGTGTGTTTTCTTTTCTCCTCAGACTCATCCTGGAGCAAACATAAGACATTCTCGAGACAACGTGCAGAATCATTCGCTGGGGCTTCAGTGAGTTAACCAAAGGAACCTGCGGAGTTCATCAAGGAACCCACGTGACATCCAGAGGAAGGCTACGGAAAGCAAGGGCGAGCTTGCAGGCACTGTAAGGCGTTCGGAGCTGTCCTGCGGAATATGACGCTTCCTGCGGTATGAAGTCTGAAGAGGTCCCCAACGCATTATACTGAACACGCGATGCAACCTAAAAGGGCAATATTAAATCATTATCATCCGTTTGTGTTACCTAGTACCTTTTTCATCCTCCCCTATCTAAGCTACTTCGTCGCACTACCTATTTTCCACATGTTCTGTCCTTTCCTCCTTCTACCCTCAGGGAATCCAACGGAGACCTCCAGGCCACCGGCCGATTTGTCTAGAAAAGACCGCACGTAACCTTAAGTAACCATGGGGATTCCCAAAGAAGCGGACGGATCCAACATGACAGGGCAGTTGGGTGCAAGGACACAATGAGTAATTCTGCAACCAACCTGAGGATTCCGAGGGATTCAGTTCCAAACGTCCCTGCGTATTTCATAGGAGGTGCAAACAATAATGTACGGGCATCTTGAGGCAAAGGGATCTCGGGGAGTCTTGATTCGTTCCTTCTTCTCTTCTTCTCGTTTCTCAGCGTTTCCTCCTCCACCCATTCCTCTTCCTCCTGTGCCTCCTCTTGCCCCTCCTTTTTCTTCATTGCCTGTCTAAGACCGACCCGTTTACCCGCTCGAGGAGTATACCCGCCCGCTCGCTTGTCAAATTTTGCCTCCCGTTCCCGTAAGGGGAAGGAGTGACCTTCGAGGCTCTCGGGTATACCCGGTGAAAGCTGCGCGAGCAAGGCGAGCGAACTGCTGCAAAAAGGAAGTTTAGTGTCTGACAAATCTGTGTCTCGGAGAAGAAAACAGCGAAACTTGTGGCGTTCCGCGCGGATTTTTGGGATCCGCGCTGGGGCCCCCTGGCGGCGCCTCTGGCACCGCCCCTGGCGCGCTTCGCGCGACAGGGTGGGGGCTCCAGCGCAGATCCCAGAAATCCGCGCGGAGCGCCAACAGTCTCTGTTTATGCAGTTGGCTTTTCTTCTATTGTTCGTACGGTAGGGGGAAACACTTAGTGGACACACTCCCCCGCTACCCCAAACTCAAAGTTCAAGTTGGCACGCGCGGGGGAGCCTGCGGTCGAAGCGCAGCTCGTTCAACCCACCTCCAACATTGATCATTGGGGGGGGCATAGACAGATGAATGCGGCATGAGTGTTCGCTAATTTCTTCCGAGGCCTGTATCCTTCGGCGGAAGGCGCAGGCTTGTGAGGCGACTGCGAGAGGCGCAGGCGGCGCGGCGCCTTCCGCGGGCAGCCGGGGCGGCGGCCGCCGCTCACGCAAGAGCCTCGCCAGTCCGACCCCCGACAGGGCTCGTTTCGATTCCTCCGATTCGATTCGATTCGATTTCGAAGGCTTCCGATTCCGATTCGATTCGACTTCGGATTCCGATCTGGACTCCGGTTCCTTAATGCAGACATACTATCCTGTCGATTTCCTGCGAGTCGATTTCTCCCGATTCGGCTGTCGACTTCCGCCGATCCGACTTATTCCGATCGCAGATCCGACTTGTCGATTCGATTCTGGGCTCTCCTGTCTCACCCACGGCGTGGCCTGAGCATCACTGTCCGGTGCGCATTTCGCTTTTCCACTGTGCGGCACCGCAACCGATACTAACGGGTACTTTCTGGAGATTTGCCGACAGTTGCCATTTTGGGGCCTCTTTCTGGCATTGCAGCGTTGCCCACATCGGGGAGGATTGGGTTCGCCGGGTCACTGACCAAAGTGCTCGTCAGTGGAGTCCCGTCAGAGGGGCGCTCATCCAATGGAAGTGCCCCCCTCGGCTCTCGCACTTTGTAGTTTGAATTAGGGTAAGTCTTCGGGCTCAAACTGGTTTTCTAGGCCGCCCGGCTGCAGCAGCAACGGATCCAGCATGAGACGTCTTCTCACAGCTTGTGCAGGATTCGCGCTCTCGCTGAAGATCCTCTCCAATGTGCTCAATCATCGCGCTCTTGCGTGGGACTGTCTTTGAATATATGCAGGAGTCGCCGCTCAGGAATCGCCATCTCGCCGCTCAGGTATCGCCCTCTCCCTTGGGAGACTTCATCATCAGTTCGCGCATGAATGTCCCCCCCGTCCGGCCCAGCCGTTGGTCGTTGTGTCCGCCCGCCCTCTCGACCCGCCCGTTGGGTCCCTTTTGCTTGGAAGCCCGCCCTCCCGTTTTGATGTCCCGCCCGCTCGACCCGCCCGTGAAGGTCCGCTAGCCCGGTCCACATCTCGTACCATGTAGTTGGCATGGCAAATGTGTCTCACCCGAGCAGGGTGCGCCCATAGACGACAAAGGTGCGAGTCGAAGGATTGGGACATACTTTTTGGATGGCACGCGAACGTCGAAGGCCGAGCTGTCTGACAGTGGTTGCTGTATTTGCAGTTGACAGTTTTGCAGCGCATTTTCGGCGCGGCGTTTGCGACGCATGTGTGTGAAGTTGTTTGCGGCTTACTCTTGTGGCACCGTTGTGACAGTTGTAGTTGCCGCTTTTGCAGCGCATTGGTGCTGTCTTTCTTTTGACGCTGCACCCGTTATGTTGGTTTGTACAGTTTCATTGTGGATGTTGTTTCGGTTGATTATCGTGTGGTCGTTCTGTTTGGTCTTACATCTTGTTTCAGGTTGGCGTGTAAGTAGTTTGGTTGGTTCGAGGTGTGTGTGTGCTTGTGTGAGAATTGAAACATTTGGCGATACGCATTAGCGAGCCTCTGCTAGCAAGGCTGCGAGGCAGGGTTCGGATGTACTGTCGTCGTGGTCGTCGCAGAAAGGTCGCGGTCGCCGCTGGTGATCACTGGTTCGACTACAAAAGCGGCGTCATGACCGAGGATGGGTGCGACAGGCTGGGAAGGGCGGGTCCTGATTACCCCTTGCAGTCGATGGGTTGTGGTATGATTTGGCCACAGGAGGATTGGCCAGCGATGAGCGCGGATGCAGCAACTTAGGAGATGACGCCGTGGGAGAACAATCCCCGCATTTGGCTCCGAGAAGATTGGACAAGACGAGAAAGCACGAGAAAGAATATCCGAATAGAGGCGTCATGGCGGAGACCAGGGGCGGCAGGCCAAGACGGCGCGGCTGGGATCAGCCCTCTTGAGGGTTGCCGGACTCTTGTGATTGCCCTGGCGCATAGACTTGACGGAGCTGGCTGCAGCGCCCGAGGGGTCCCTGGGGCCAACATCTTGAGCCTGGGGCTCCAAGTCATGAAATTGACAACGTGGCGACTTTGCGGGTCCTCGTCTTGATTGGGCAGGCATCAGGGCCGGTCCCGATCCGATCCGATCCGATTTCGATGCGCCCCTGCCGATTTCGGTTCCGGTCCGACTCCTCTGGCCTTTCCCGGTTTCAATTTCGATCCGGCGCGCGGATGCCGACTCCGGTTTCGATCCCGCGTTCCCGATTTTCGTCGATTCCAGTTTTGATTGCGAAGGCCTGACGGCCAGTGGACCCCGACGTCGGCGACGAAGTGGGCGGAGACGGAGGTCGTGGAAAATGAGGAGGAGGAGGCGAGGTGGAGGAGGAGGAGGAGGAGGAGGACGAGGACGAGGAGGATGAGGAGGAGGAGGAGGAGGAGGAGGAGGAGGAGGAGGAGGAGGAGGAGGGAGGAGGAGGAGGAGGAGGAGGAGGAGGAGAAGAAGGAGGAGGGAGGAGGAGGGAGGAGGAGCGTCGAAGGTTGGAGCAGGAGGGGGAGGAGGAGGGGGAGGAGGAGGGGAGGAGGAGGAGGAGGAGGAGGAGGAGGTGGAAGAGTTGGAGGAGGAGGAGGAGGAGAGGAGGAGGAGGAGGAGGAGGAGGAGGGGAGGAGGAGTAGGACAGGGGAGTGGCGGGAGAAGGAGGAGTTGGAGGAGGAGGCGGAGGAGGAGGACGAGGAGGAGAAGGAGAAGGAGGAGGAGCAGGAGGGTGGTCGAAGAGAGGGCTCTGGCGGCGCCAGGAAGCCTCGATCCTCGAGCCTGGGGTTCGGAGCCCGCAGATTGAGCAGGAGGAGGAGGAGGAGGAGAAGGAGGGGGAGGGGGAGTTGTTCTACATGTTCAGTCTTTCGTCATTTTCGGCCTCCAGGGGCCATTTTGGGAACCAGGAAGCCGCGCAGGGTTCCGGAACCGCGCGGGGACCGCGCCGGACGCGTGGGGAGTGAAAGCGTATGTGGGTGGCGACCCCCTTGGGACCCCCCTTGGGACCCCCCCGGGACCCCCCCGGGACCCCCCCGGGACTCCCCCGGAACCCCTTTTACCCCCCCGCCGGGAAAGGGACAAAGGGAAAGGGCTTCATTTTGACGTGGTTAGGACATGGGTCGATTTTCCTCAAGCCTGCTAGAGCACTGCAGCGACGACGACGACGACGACGACGACGACGACGACGACGACGACGACGACGACGACGACGACGACGACGACGACGACGACGAACGGCACAACCTCTCACAAACGCCGACAGGGTCGGCGGATTCCGCAGGGGTTGGGAGGAGGAGGGAGGTGAGGAGGAGAAGGAGGAGGAGGAGGAGGAGGAGGAGGAGGAGGAGGAGAAAGAGGAGGAGGAGAAAGAGGAGGAGGAGGAGAAGGAGGGGAGGAGGAGGAGAGGAAGAGAGAAGGAGAAGGAGGAGAAGAGGAGGAGGAGGAGAGGGAGAAGGAGGAGGAGTAGGAGAGGAGGAGGAGGAGGAGGAGAGGAGGAGGAGAGGAGGAGGAGGAGGAGGAGGAGTTGGAGGAGGAGGCGGAGGAGGAGGACGAGGAGGAGAAGGAGAAGGAGGAGGACGAGGAGGACGAGGAGGAGGAGTAGAGGAGGAGGAGAGGAGGAGGAGGAGGAGGAGGAGGAGGAGGAGGAGGAGGAGGAGGAGGAGGAGGGGAGAGGAGGAGGAGGAGATGGAGGACCACGACGAGATCCGAAGGGGGGGGGTCCGAGAGGCACCTCCTGCCCCTGCTCGCTCTCTCTCTCTCTCTCTCTTTCTCTCTCTCTCTCTTTCTTTCTCTCTCTCTCTCTCTCTCTCTCTCTCTCTCCCCCCCTCCCTCCCTTCGCCCCCCAATTCCTTCCCCCTCCCCTCCCGCCCTCCCTGCCCCCCCTGCGGGCTGGTGTGGGCCTACACGTGGAAAAACGGTGTGCAACCCTCGACCCTGGGGAGGGCCCAGGGGGCCCGACCCTCCGACCCTCGGCTCCGCGGTGGCCCCGAGGGGGCCCCGACCCTCGGCCCCGAGAAGGCCCCGACCCTCCGACCCTCGGCTCCGTGGGGGGGCCCGACTCCCGATCCTCGGCTCCGCGGGTGCACCGAGGGGGCCCCGACCCTCGGCCCCGAGGGGGCCGCCCCGACCTTCCGACACTCGGCCCCGAGAGGGCCCCGACCCTCCAACCCTCGGCCCCGAGGGGGCTCCGCCGAGAGTGCCCCGACCCTCCGACCCTCGGCCCGGAGGGGGTCCTGACCCTCCGATCCCCGAGGGGGCCCCGAGAGGGCCCCGACCCTCCAACCTTCGGCCCCGAGGAGGCCCCGACCTTCCAACCCTCCCCGAGGGGGGCCCCGAGAGGGCCCCGACCCTCCGACCCTCGGCCCCGAGAGTGTCCCGACCCTCCGATCCTCTTTCCCCGGCGGCCCCGACCCTCGGCACCGAGGGAACCCCGACCCTCCGACCCTCGGCCCCGAGGGGGTCCCGACCCTCCGATCCTCGGCTCCGCGGGGGCCTGGGGGGGGCCCCGACCCTCCGACCTGGCAGCCCCTTAGCTAAGAGCCCGTGGGAGCCAGGCCGCGGCTGTTAGCATTAGCCCCGACGGAGCTTCTCCTTCTCCCACCCCCCACCCCCCCTCCTCCTCGAGGTACCTTCCGCCTGCGACCCGCCCGCCACCCGCGGAGACCGCTAGCCGCATGCAGCACGATCATGCATGCATCATCACCATCATCATCATCATCATAATCACCTTTCTCATCATGATTCATCATCATCATCATCATCACCATCATCACCGTCACCATCACCATCACCATGCATCACCATCACCATCATCACCATCATCGGTACCATCAGAATCACCATCATCACCATCTTCGGTACCATCATCACCATCACCATCATCGGCACCATCATGTATCATCATAGACACATCACAGTCATCGTCATTCCACCAAGGTTGGATCATGTGTACAGCAATCAATGTTAGCCACATGGCAGATGCTGATATGTCGCCCCTCTTGCAGCGCATCCTCCAATGCACAATCAAGTCGTGCAAGTGTGTACATGTCGCCAAGAATTTACATTCATGGTGCAGACAATTGCCGCTAAGCCACGATCGCAGTGATACGTGGTTGTGGTTTCACATTCAGCCTGGGAAGCCTATTGAACGGAGGTGTGTAATTTGCGATCATGACCCCGTAGGGGAGGGGAAGTTGTATGGTGGAAAACCAAAGCTTGCACATTTGAAACATCACGCCACATCCCGATCGCACAAGAATGCAGTTGCGAGATTCTTGGGCCGCGAAGACGAGCAGAGTCCACTCGCAGGGCCCCCGACCTCGACGTTTGAGGACGTGTTTCGTATGTTGCGCAGTGCTTGGCCAACGGAAAGCGGAGCGCATGATTTGGGCACTTGGTGGAGCGAATTTGCAGATCAAGCAAAACCAAGTTTGGCAATCCGAATGCATGACCGTCCACAGAGATGGACGGCATGGGCGGCTACAGGCTACACTGTAGATATACATGCGTTGATTCTGAGTTCGTCGTGAGCTCTGGGTTTATGGGCCAATCCACAGAGCACGAGCCGAACGCATTGGGCATCTGCGCGGTCACTGAACACATGTACCGTAAATTCTGATATACATTCAAGGATGCGCCATCTCATGCGGTGGTGAAAGCGTTGTCTCAATCGGAACGTTTCGAACACGTGCGCAATGTGACAGAAGCGGCGTGCGCCGACCCGGCCAGTAACGCAATCGCTGGCATTGTTGACATGATAACTGCCACGACGAGGCCTGCCTTCACGCCAACTTGTAATTTCACCCTCAGAGATTGCGCGCACAACGCTCGTCGCGGCACCATGCGGCCTTGGGATTCAGACGAAGTTATATCCGGAGTGGTGGGCATGTTTTGCAATTGGAAGAGCTCGCCAGGGCAATCGGTGAGACGCAGCATTGAATTCAAACGTTTGTAGTCGGAATGCGTAAAAGAGCTTTCGGAGACGGCTACAGCGGCATCACAATCCGGGAACCTGCGAGCTGCGAAGCACCGCGTTGCATCCGTGGCTCGGCCACTTAGCAGGTGCGCGCTTGGACTTGACGGCCTGCTTTTGGTTGCTAGCAAGCTGTCGCTCATGCGCAAGGGTGGGTTGCCAGGCCGAGCTGCTCAAGAAGTTTTAAATCCGCGTGCCCTGAGGTGCTGCTCCTCCCAGGCAGAATGGCAGTCGCGACTCATGCGGCATTGCTGCTGGTTCGGCTTCTGGAGGCTGGCGCCGAGCGCGGCACGATGGAAGACCTGGGCACTGCCGAGGGCGGCCTCTTGGACAGGCTGTCGCGGCTGTTCCACCAGGACGGCCGCTTCCACGTAGAAGGCCGTCTGGGCATCCAAAGCATACGCTGCCAACCAACGCAGCATCCTGCTCGTGCAGCCGCCCTTCCTCGTCGCCCCTCCCCCGCTACCTCCAACCTTCCTCCTCGTCCCCCATCGCACTTGTTACATTTCTCCTCCTCCCCTTCCTCGCTTCCGCCGCGCTCTCTGGATCCCTCAGAATTCTTCCTCCACTTCTTCCACCCCCCCCCCTCCCCCCTTTCCCCCCTTCTTGCCAGAATCCCCCCCCCGGCCGCCCCCCCCCTTTGCCCGCGCGCGAATCACTCCCCGAGGCCGCGCCGCTGCGATAGTTGACTGGTTGAGCAAGCCGCGCTTCATGATGTCGAGAGGGCTGATCAAACGCGAGGGCTCGCACTTGGGCGCATGCAAACCGACGCCGCTATGGCAAAAGGTGCGCTGCGGAATCTCCAGAGCTTGGTTTACTAAGCGCGTTTACCGTGCTCGCTTTGCCTGAACAGCAACGCTGCAACACTGATGCAGCTGTTGCCCAAGACCAGAAAACCAGTTGGTTAATTCTTCACGCTTCGCGCATCCCCACCAGCCCATTTCAAAACAGCAACTCTAGCGAAGCATGCCGACAGTCGTGTTTGTCAGGCGTGTCTCCGCCTGCCCCCGCATATCTCCCCTGCCCCTCCTTCCTCCCGCCTCCTTGCACATCCTCCTTGTGGTGGGGGCGGGAGAAGGACGAGGCGGAGGGGGAGGGAGAGAAAGCGCTCCTCGTGGTTTGAGTCGTTCGGGCTTCTGTCGTTCGGGCTCCTCGTGGTGTGAGTCGTTCGGGCGCCTCGTCCTGGTGTGAGTCGTTCGGGCCCCTCCTTGTGGTGTGAGTCGTTCGGGCTCTTCGTGGTGTGAGTCGTTCGGGCCCCTCGTCCTGGTGTGAGTCGTTCGGGCTCCTCGTGGGGCCTCTTGGGGGCCTCTTGGAGCCTCTTGGGGCCTGTTGGGGGCCTCTTGGGGGCCTCTTGGGGGCCTCTTGGGGGCCTCTTGAGGCCTCTTGGGGCCTCTTGGGGGCCTCTTGGGGCCTCTTGGGGGCCTCGTGGGGGCCTCTTGGATGCCTCTTGGGAGCCTCCTGGGGGCCTCTTGGGGCCATCTTGGGGGTTCTTGCGACCTCCTCAGAAGCGCAAGTGAGCGCTGCCCCCCTGAGAAGGACAAAATGAGCCCAAAACCTTCGTAACATCAATGATTTTGCTATGAAGGAAGAGGGGCGCTGCCCCCTTCAGGAGGCCAAAATGGGGCCGAAACCGAAGTAAAATCAATGATTTTGGCTTCGAAGAAGAGGAGAGGGTTTTTGTTGGCGCCCCCCCGTCGGGGGCAGAATCCTCGTGAGGGGTGTCGTTTTTTAGCCTCCCAGGAGTCGAAATTGACCCCCCTGACGACCCGCCGGACCCCCTCTCCAGGCCCAGGGGGAGGGGGTAGGGGAGGGGTAAACCCCTCCCCGAAGGGGAAGAAGGGGGGTTAAGGACAGAGAGAGCTCGCTAAACCACTCACGCCCAAAGGGCTGGTGGGATTTTCCGAATGCTTTCAAGCTACCACGTTTGGTGAATCGACTCGCTGGTGAACTTCCAGATGCGCGCGCTGTGCTCGCGCGCGGCCACGTTGTTTCAAGCGCCGAAGCACGGGTTCATGCAATCGACGCAATCAAGGACATGAAGGGCGGCAACATGCAGCACCCGCATGAAGAGTTATCGTGTGCTTTGAAGCGGCGGGCATGTATCAACCCTTCCACGGCAACCATCGAATGCTCCTTCTCCTCGGTTGCAGGCCGCCTCGGCGAACAGCGTTTGCGCGCGCCGCCTGCCGCAGGGAACCGGGCAGTGGGGCCCTTGTGGTTTGAATCCTGAACCAGCCGAGCTTTCGGACTTCTGATCCGAGGTGCGGTCGATGCACGTGGAGGCGCTTCCTCTCCAGAGCCGCCCGCATTCGCAGACGCGCGGGCCGAGGTGTCAGACGCGCGCTCGGTGAAACGTCTGGCGCTTGTTCAAAGATAAAGGACCATGAGAAGCTCGAGGAGCAACAATGGCCCTTTCGGCTTACGAGGGCGATTTCTGCAAGGACACCCAAGAACGCCTCCGCTGCGATTGAGGCGAACCCTAGGACATGCACCGATCGGCACGATAAGGAACGCCAGCTTTTGCTGAGCAAGCGCCAGGAGAGGCCCCCATCGGCTTTTGGCTGGCAAGAACGCACGCCACCCCCTCGCAGCCCCCCAACCACCGCGCGGGCCATGGGCTTCGGTTCGGCCGCGTTCAAAGGCCATCTCGGGCGGAACTCGCTTACCTTGGGCAACCTTGAAGTTTACATCGGGGCCACGTTGGGCCACCCCCACTTGGCCCCTTTCTGGGGCCCTCGCCCGCGACCCAATCCTCAACGTCGTCAACCTCCTCGCCCCCCCTCATCCCCCCGCGCGCCCCTCGCCTTCAACCTTCTCATTCATGTCCCTGGCGATGCGCAAGAAGAGTGCGATCGATGTGTGCTTGACCGCGGAGGAGAGGCTGCCCACCTTGCCAGGGCACCCAGCCATCGCCGAGGCCTCCGCCCAGGAACGCGGACCCGACTCACCGTGGAACAAGCTTTTCAAACTCCAGGAGGTGATTTACTGCTGCAAGTCCCCTAACAGGACCTCGTGGGTCATGGAGCGCGCGGACGATTGCACCCGGAGTCAGGGGCGCGACAACAGCGACGCGACGGCCAGCTCCTTAGACAAAGGGGCGCAGCTCGTCTGACATGGCCTTCCAGCTCCAGAATACGAGGGGCGACCTCCTGAACAACTGGCAAGACAGCATGCCGTCCCCAGCCGACAGGAAGATCATGCGCAAGGAGGCGTTCGCATCGCACTCGCCTTGGCATGCCACCAACAATCCTAGATCTGGGAATGCCTACGCCACGCGGCTGCTCAAGTGGCCCAAGGTCGGCAATAATCTTTGCGAGTCCCTGGGGGATGCAATCTGCGCGCCGTCGACGCATGGCGAGCGTGCTCCGCCAAGCTGTCAGTCGCGGCGCGAACGATGACGTAGAAACCATGGTCCGATTTAATCGTCGAGCTCACGGCTGAACTCTCTCGCGCGGTGGATGACCCAAGCGCGCCAGTCGATGCGAGCGCGGGCCAGGGCGGCACCGCTGGCGGGGCCCTCGCCTTCGGCCTCGACAAGACGGGTCGCGGAGCTGAGTCTGATAACGGGGAAGAGACCGTCGTCGAGGACTTCGCGATGAAACGCGCCGACAGGTTGATGCGCCGGCTTACATTCTTCGGCGTCGAGCTTGCGTCGGAGGCCGCCCTCGCCGACTTCATCCAGGCATGCCCACTCGCTGCGTTTCAGCCTGCGGGCGGCAGTAACGCGATGACCCCCATTTCGACGCGAACGCGCGCGGCGAGGCGGACCACCGACCTCGGTCGCGGAAGTGCCCCTTCAGCGAGAAGCAGCTCGGCAAGCACATCAGGTCGCACCTCGCAGCGACGACGGGAACGTCAGAGCCAGAGAAGTTGCCCAATGGCGTCCTGCTTGCGCGCCTGAACGGCGCCAAGGAGATGGAGCGGATCTTCCAGAAGCGCCTCCTCGTCGCCAAGACCGTCCAGGGTCGCAACAAGTACCGCGCCATCACCTTGTTCTGCTCGAGTGAATCCATGCGAGAACGCCACAAAGCAAGCTTCCTGAAGCTCACGTCGTCCATCTACATTGCCACGAACTGTCGGACTCGCTACACCAAGCGGAAGTTCGTGTCCCATCCGACTTGCTCCAACACGGGTGACGTGCTGGGCCCAGTTGAGATGCCATCCATGACGCAGCTTCGTCGCTTGAAGAAACCGGACAAGGTCGCTTACTACAGAAAACGCCTGGCACGGATTGGAGGCGAGGTCTCCGGTGATGACGAGGACGACATGGACGACGCGATCGAGGCAGCATATGAAGCAGAACCAGCAGATGGTGACGATTCGCTGCTTCCTGTTGCAAACCACGCCACGCCGACCACCGTCGTTCGAATGCTGTCGCAAAGTAACAAACCGCCGCCCTGAGGAGGGGAAGGAGGAGGAGGAGGAGGAGGAGGAGGAGGAGGAGGAGGAGGAGGAGGAGAGAGAGAAGGGGAGGACGAGGGGGGAGAGGGAGGAAGGAGGAGAAGAGGGAGGAGGTAGAAGAGGAGGGAGGAGGAGAAGGAGGAGAGGGAGGAGGGAGGAGGGGGGGAGGTATAAGGAGGAGGAGGAGGAGGAGGGGAGGGGGGAGGGGGGAAGGGGGAGGAGAGGGAGGAGGAGGAGGAGGAGGAGGATGAGGAGGAGGAGAGGGGAGGGGGGAGGGGGGAGGAGAGGAGGAGGAGGAGGAGGAGGAGGAGGAGGAGGAGGAGGAGGAGGAGGAGGAGGAGGAGGAGGAGGAGGAGGAGGAGGAGGGGGAGGAGGGAGGAAAAGGACGAGGTAGAAAGAGGAGGAGGAGCAGGGATGAGGTGGAGGAGGAGGAGGAGGAGGAGGAGGAGGAGGCGGAGGAGGGAGGAGGAGGGAGGAGGAGGGAGGAGGTGGGGAGGACAAGGAGGAGGAGGAGAAGGACGAGGCGGAGGAGAAGTAGTAGGAGTAGGAGTAGGAGTAGGAGTAGGAGTAGGAGTAGGAGTCAAGCTAGCCAGCTCGAGCGAGTCAAGCATGGCATGCCCAGTCCCACCCGCCCTCCCACAACAGAAGAAGCAAAGCTGGCACAACTGGGGGCCGAAGTCACACCGGCCAGCCGGTTTGGTACAGCTGATGCGGCCGCGATGGCGGTTGCCGACGGGAACTGGCGAGCGCGTGTTGAATGCCGCGCACGCATTGCCAGACGAGTCGAGAATGGCCCGGTACACCGACATGTCACCCCTTCGCGCGGGGTGTGCGCCGCGTCCCATTCCTGCCACGCATTTTGCGACGTGACGACAGCACGACCATGTTGACAAGAAAAACAAAAACTGTGTATTGTCTTTTGCAGATTAGAATGGGACGGATTGGATGGGCGGGCGCGGGGTGTGCGCCGCGTCCCATTCCTGCCATGCATTTGGCGACGTGGACGACAGGACGTCCATGCGACGGTGCCAATGACGGCGACGACTCTAGAAGGATTTGAGCATGCGCTCGCGGCGACGCGCGCGCATGTCGCCCGCGTGGTATTTGTTGCACAGGATTCGCGGCCTGGGTGCATGACAGACCATCGCGAGTGCACCGCGCGATGACGTGAAATCGATGGATTTGACCGAATTCTTGAGATTCCTATAGTTTTCCTATGATTTCAGCAAGAGCGCCCGGGCAGGAAATTTGTAGAATTTGTGTGAAAAAAACATTGGGTTTTTGATGTTTTTATGTTGAAATGCTTGCAAACACACGGTGTTCGGTAGGATTATGACATGAACGCGCGCGTGTGCTCTTTGTGGTATTTTTGCAATGGATTATCGCCGTGGACGACAGGACGTCCATGTCGAGAGGAAAAAATAAGAAACATGTTGATTTTGTATTGTTTTTTACATGTTAGGATGGGACCACCCCGTTAGGATGGGACACCCGGATGGGCCCCCACTGCCGGCCTGAGGGGGGAGTAGGAATATCTTCTAAGGAGATAAGAATGTGGTTTTTTTGGCGTAGGAGGAGGGAGGAGGAGGAGGAGGACGAGGGAAGGAGGAGGAGGAGGAGGAGGAGGAGGAGGAGGAGTGAGGAGGAGGAGGAGGAGGATCGAGGACGGGAGGAGGAGGAGGAAAAGGAGGAGGAGGAGGAAAGGGAGGAGGGGAGGGAGGAGGAGGAGGAGGAGCAGGAGCCTCCTCCTCCCCCCTCCTCCGTCTTCATTCTTCTCCTCCTCTCTCCTCCTCTCCTCCTCCTCCTCATCCTCTCACTCCTCTCCTCCTCCTCATCCCTACTCAGCCTCCTCCTCCCATATGCTCACCATCTACTCTCCCCTTTCGTCTCCCCCCCCCTCCCCCTGCTCCAGACGGCCTGAAACCCAGAGGGGCCGAGGCTTTGCGCCGGCATTTCGCGTCGAGCCCCCAGGCCGGCCAGGGTGCCCAAGCTGCCGGGCGCGCCGCCGCCTGCTCGAGGCAGAGGCGGCGGAGGCGGTCGCAGCAGGGCAAATGGCATCAATGATGAGAAGGCGGGGGCGGTCGTTTCCACAGACAACGACACCGCTCGCCCCAAGTTCAAGCGCATGGACCACTCGCGCTTGCCGCGCGCGACGGCGTTGGCGACGTCGATGACGGCTCGCGCGAAACCCATTCCAGCGACGTCGCCGAAGGCTCGCCCGAAGGTGAAGCTTGAGCGTCTGGCGCCGAACCTGGCCATGGCCACCGAATCGGCGGACACTGGAGGGGGGCCGCAACGACGAGGCAGCGGTCAACGGCGCCGACTAGTGCTAGACTGGCATCGGATGCGCTAGCCGATGCGCTACGACTTCGACGCGCGCAGGTGGCATTGCCGAGTGGATGCGCGGCACGTGGAGGCACGTCGTCGACGACAGCTGGAGAGAAACTTGGACGCCCCAAGTGCGTCAGCTATCTGCGCGACGGCGGCGGCGACGGATACCTGTGCAACGGCGCCAAACAGTCTCTGATTGTGCGGCACGTCTTCCGGTCTTGGAAATTCCGGGACATCTATTGCCAAGAGTTCTGCAATAACCGCACGAGTCAGGAAAGTATGTCGTTCTTCAGGTGCTAGCTGCTCGGGCATCCGTCGAGCCATAGCGGAGGACTGGCACGATGCAGATAATATTTGCGTTGGCGCCGACGAGGACGAGGGCGTATTATGACATGCAGGGCGTTCAGCGTAGCTTGAATTTGGTTGCGGCTGCTTTCAGTGCGCATGTGGCGCGAACTGGCAAAGCACAAGCGTTTGACTCGTGCGGCTGGGAGTAGGTCACGGGCAAAAACATATCATCGCCATGCACACCAAATACAAACTACGAGGCATACTAAGCGAACCAAGCACAACGCAAATAATGGACACACACACACACACACAACAACAACAACAACAACAACAACAATCATTTTACCCGAACGCGTGGTGTTCTCCCCAGTGCCAGGGTTTTCATACGACACCAGGCAATACCCCCACTTCGTGGGGGGGCATTACAAGCTCTACCAAATTTCCAAACGACTCTTCGCGACCACCCAAACCCAGCTTCCCGCCCTATGACGTTGGGACACTTCACTTCGTGGCGTGCGGACGACCGTGGCTACTAAACTGGCGTGGGGTACACACCCACAGAACTTGGTCACTTATTCGGGGCGCGCGTGTGCCCAGCATCCTGCAATTGTGACATACAATACATGACACAGACAGACAGAGAGAGAGACAGAGAGCAGACAGAGAGAGAGACAGAGAGAGCGGAGTTGGTCACATTTTGGGGCACGTTCTGGGATGATGGGAATTACACAGGTGTTTTTCGAGGACCTACGGTGCGATTCGTGTGATTTTATGATGCGCGGTGCTAAAATTCTTAGAAACCCAATGGTTTTTGGAGATTTCGGCGTGCGCGCGCGAAGAAAAAACGAATGTGTCCCGCATGGTATTATTTGACAGGGATGATGGACCTGGCAGGTGCGCAACCGTTGTCGCAGAAGTTCGAAAAAGTTGCTCGCAAAAGCCCGTTTGACAGAAATGTTGAAAAAGTGTTGGGTTCCTACGAATCCGCAAGAGCGCGCGGGATGAGATTTTGACATTTTTTTGTTGAAAAACCATTAGTTTTTTGATGTTTTTATGTTGAAATCGCTCCGAACACTAAGCTTTTGGAAGGATTTCGTCTTGCGCGCGCGAATGTCCACTTTACCTTATTTTTTGCAAGGGATTCTTGAAATGTGATTATATTAGAACAAGAAATGTCATTTTATAGTGTTTTTTGCAAGGGAAAGCGGGGGGGAACAAAACAACCGGATCTTGATCACATCGTATTACCTGAGGCTTCCTCACGAAAATGATGAAAATGTAGCTGCGGCCTAGGTGGCGCAGGGGGGGCGCGCACCAGGGGGCCCAACAATAATTATTCTTTAGAATAAATAATGTTCAACAACAACAACAACAACAACAATTACTAGCACGTGGGGACACACCGTTCTCACCAGTGCCAGGGTTTTCATAGGAGGCGGACAATACCCCCACTTTGTGGGGGGGCCGGTTCAAGCTCTACCAAATTTCCAAACGACTCTTCGCCACCACCCACACCCAGCTTCCCGCCCTATGACGTTCGGACACTTCACTTCGGGGCCTGCGGACGACCGTGGCTACTACACTGGCGCGTGGCTACTACACTGGCGGATTGTGGCCCCTGGCAGGCGCGCGAACGCCGTTGAAAGAGCTTGCGAAAGTAGCTCGCGCGAGCTCATGTAACATAAATGTTGAAAAACCATTGGTTTTAAGGATTCGGACAGCGCGCGCGGGTAGAAATTTTGAAAATCCGTGCACGTGTTTTTCGAGGACCTACGGTGCGATTCGTGCGATTTTATGATACGCGGTGCTGAAATCCTTAAGAAACCCAATGGTGTTTGAAGATTTCGGCGTGCGCGCGCGAAGAAAAAACGAATGTGTCCCATATGGTATTATTTGACAGGGATGATGGCCCTGGCAGGCGCGCAACCGTTGTTGCAGAAGTTCGAAAAAGTTGCTCGCAAAAGCCCGTTTGACAGAAATGTTTAAAAAGTGTTGGGTTTCCTACGAATCCGCAAGAGCGCGCGGGATGAGATTTTGACAAATTTGTGTTGAAAAACCATTGGTTTTGTGATGTTTTTATATTAAAATCGCTACGAACACTAAGGTTTTGGAAGGATTTCGTCTTGCGCGCGCGAATGTCCACTTTACCTTATTTTTTGCAAGGGATTCTTGAAATTTGATTATATTAGAACAAGAAATGTCATTTTCTATTGTTTTTTGCAAGGGAAAGCGGATTACAACAAAACAACCGGATCCTGTAC